ATCCCTTTAAGGATATATATGTAAACAGACAATATACCACTGATTTTGTCTTAAGATATATAAAAGTAAGGCTATTCTCCCTTCTTTTTATTAATCTATTATTTTAACAGAGATTTTCTGAACTAGATAGCTGAACATCACTAAATATTCAAATGTCGGGGATAAGGGTATTCTAAGATCAAACAACTTCTAGGCCACTGCGTGTCACAATTTTACTAATCAATCTTTCTGAAAAGAATCACCAATCGCCCGGAAGCAAAAATTAATCTTCATGAATTTTCATTAGAAAAGGATATATTTTTAAACATTTTTTTCCCAGAATTTTTTTTTTAAATCTCGGAGGGTATGAAAAAATTTTGAAGAAATCAATAAGATTTCTAAGGTTTTTAAATTCAACTTGTTTTTTGTTTTGTAGCCTGATATCTGGATGCCTGATCTTGTTTTAAAGAACGGATTTACGGAATTCAAACAACTTGGCGGTAAATTCTACTATGTGTTTGTCGACTATGACGGCACTGTTCATTGGTATCCATATATGGTATTCGAATCATCATGCGATATTGATATTTCCCATTATCCCTTCGACAAACAATCATGTAAAGTCAGCTTTAAGACATGGAGTTACTCTAGATGGGAAATAAATCTAACCGTTTCAGAAGATAAAATCGGATTCTACGAATTTGTAGAAAACAGCGTATGGGAAGTGACATCAACAGATGCATCACATGACGTATCAGCTTCCGAAACAGACGTACATTTCATTATAAATCTTCGACGGAAACCATTATACTATGTTATGAACTTGATCCTTCCAATTATTTTTCTTGGCGTTTTGAATTTGCTTGTGTTTATCATTCCAGCCGATGCCGGAGAAAAAATGGGTTATGCCGTTACAATATTTCTAACATTTGCTGTGTTTTTAACAATAGTTAGTAGTGAGCTTCCGATAAACTCGGACAATGTTTCGGTCCTGAGTGTTTATTTAATTATACAACTTTGTATAGGTATACTTGTTCTCGTTATTACCTCTTTACAACTCCGATTACATCACAGGACATCAGAGAGGAAAATAGGCAAACTATTCCGCTTTTTAGTGAGAACAGAAAGGCGTTTGAGATGTGAAGGCAGTAAAAACTTCTCAGAATCAGGATGTTTTCGAAAGTGTAAATGCAATGCAAACACTCAGGTTGTGCAGGTAGAGGAGAAGTACTGTAAAAGCAGACAAGATACAGAGATTTCGGAAAAGATGGAAGACGAAGAGGAAATGTCTTGGAACGATGTGTCCTCTGCAATAGATTTTTGTGCATTTTGGATTTTGCTGATAGTTGAAACTCTAATTTCAACCATCGTTTTTGTATATGCTTCAGTATATTAGAACTCTTTATTCTCTTTATTTTTATTTCTCTTACCGGAGCGAATATTTATCTATCATGTTTACCTGTCACCATAATAATAATAAATTGCATTAGTTTTATTTCATAGTGTTGTTTACTAGTAATATAAAGAAAGAATCCCGAGTAGAAGCATCAATAATAAGCATATGAAATATAATTGAAAATAATATACTAGTATTTAAAATGACAAAAGAAATATTTTCTCGATCAATTAATATGACAAAGAAACATTAACGATGTAAAGATGAAAACAAAAGAACATATTAAAACGATGTGACACCTTTTTATTTACAAGTAGTTATTGATGAATGAGAAAGGATTCTCATACAATATGAATTATAATTGCATAAATGTATATTGAGTAAAAAGGACTTCGTCGAGAATAATTGTTTGCTTTTTTAAATGAGAAAAACTGAAATACAAAACTTGGAAATGGCTAAAGTGCATAAACGTTTTACGAGCACGGATACTGGAATTCCTATATACTATGCAATGCCCGGATTATCGGGGATCTGTTTATTATCCGATTATAGGTTCTTACGCCTGTGTATTTATGATCACGATTAGAAATTATATAAGATCTCAAGAGCATATATGTCAATACATCTTAACATTAACTTAACAGTTACATTTCAATCAGTGAAAGCTAAAGTTTTCAAATCTGCTCTCGTGTCCAGCACCATTAAAAAAGTGAAGATGCCCTTCTTTTCAATTATCGTATTTAAATTCTATTCAAAGAATAAGCCACACGATCAATAATTTTATTCTATAAAAAATTAGTCTATGAATGCCGTATATTATGGTAACAAATCTTTAAAACTAGAGGTACCATGAGCACTGATCTCACTAAATGATACCATCATAAAATTTCAGAAAAATCTCAATTTAAGGGATGAAAATGCTCTCTTATGTCAATAAATAAACTTAAATATCTGTCTGCTGAATTATGTCTTAATAATGAAAGGACATATTTCCCTTCATAGGTCATTGAATTATATAATGAATCTACGGTGCAATACTTTTTGCGGGTAATCCTTAATCTAATATTAATCTTAATCTAAACACATAATAATCCAAAATTTGCTAATCTATTTTGTAATTTTAAGTCGAGTGTACTGTACAAGTACCTGAAACTGATTTAGGTAAGTAGGAATAATGTGTCAATAACAAATTTATGCCTCATGGTAATTTCTCAAATGATGCAGGTTGTGTAAAATTCACGTTCAATAAAATGTTTTTAAAAAAGTGAATACTTTGTTTTGTTTGTTTAATGTAAAATATGAAACAAAGTTAGCTATTATGAAAAATTTAATAATAAAGTTTGCAAGCGCCCTCGGGTGACAACCCTACTCAGACCTGATAATTGGTGATGTCTCCCTTCTAAACAGTCCATAATTGTATAATATTTATGATTATTTTAATATTGCATGCGTTGGCGATACAATGAGTGTTTAATTTATTATCAATAAAATTCATACAATCATATATTCTTGTTGAATTGAATTGAACATATTTTATTGACAAGGTCAAAAATTCAGTAATTTAGATAGTCCTCTCCTAATACATTTTGTAAAATTGACAAAATAAATAAAAACAACATATATACATATGATCTACTGCATACATTATATACATCGTTGCAATAGAAAGGAAAAAAATAAATTCTTTAAATGTACAAATATAATTTGAGATAGTAATAAAAAAGTAAACTTATTTTGAAAAAAGAACAAATTCATTTAAGAAATTTTGAATAGTCTTGAAAAGTTCACAAACAATATATATATATATATATATATATATATATATATATATCGCCTCTTGTATCAGGTACTAAGTAAATAATCACAAACATATATATATATATAAGCCCAGTAACTATTCTTGAAGTACTTTTTTCCGCGTGGTATTAATTTACGCTATGTACGCGGTCATAAATTTTCCGCGGAAATTTCTCCAAACGTACTTAATGAAAATGTAAGGCATATAATGACAATCTAAGAAATCCGCGTACTTTTCTACCTGCGGATTAAACAGAAATTGAGATTCCGCGAAATTAAGACCCCGCGGAAAAAAGTACGTCTACAGTATATATGATATATATATATATATATCACCTCTTGTATCAGGTACTAAGTTTTGTAAATAATTAGGTACTAAATTATGTTGCATTTTATACATTGTTATTAGTTTTGTCCTATTTCTTCTATATTTCAATGGTTCCAAACCTGTTTCCAAATATAATGAATTTCTTGAAGCAATAATTGTAAGCCCAGTAACTATTCTTGCAGCAAATAATAAATATATATTTTTATAGATATATATTATTATATTCTATATATATATGTATATATATATATCGTATATTATCATATAAGGAGTATATATATATATATTTATATATATATATAAAATGCATCTGAACAAACAAATCAGCTTATCTTGCAACAAAAGAAAATGTCTAAATGTTTTGGAGGAACATACTTTAGTAAATGTATACTTCAATTATCAATTCTATCAAAGAATTAAAGGAGCGGATGTTTAATTCAAAAGGATTTTAGTCGGTGTCCCTCGGATTGATAATCCTCGTGGATATTAAACATATGTCATATGTGCAGTCTTCAGACCCCAGATTTGGTATAATACAATAGTTCATACAAAAAATCGGAAAACGAATACAAGATTTCTATTAGAACTATATTTGAAGATTCCTTTTTGGATCCCGTGTCTTTTATTTCAAGTTCTTCTGTTAGACACTGTAAAACCCAGGACGTTTTGATAATTAACACTTATATGATCAGTATTCTTAGTGGAAAGAGCTTCTTTATCAAAATTTCTCGAAAAAGACGTTAATCTAACAACAAAATTTATTACAGATGGAATGAGTTTTCAATTACCAATTTTCTTCACGTGTGCAACAATATACCTTCATCATCAGCATAAGGAGTATAAATATATTTCATTTGAGTTGATTGGCAAGAGCATGCTGTATGTATGAACGGCTTTTAAAAGAAGTTATTGACAAAAAAGTTGTTGCAACAAGAATATAAGCAATCCTTTTTGAACTCAACGTTTCGTAAGTTCTATGGTCTATACAATCTAATTGTCGGCAAAATGAATTTATCAATACGTCAAATGCTGACTGTTGTTTTCATACTTATTGTTCGGCTATTTTATACGCATTGAATGACGACAGATTTTTCCGTAATTTCCTGATCATGATAAGGAGCACACGGCGGGTGTGACCGGTCAGCAGGGGATGGTCACTCCGCCACGGCACCTGATCTAACCTCTGATGTTTTGGAGGTCCGTGTTTGCTCAGCTCCAATTTTGGATTGTTTAATGGACTGTTGAGTTTGCATACTGTTCGTTACACCTCTACATTTCATTGATATAAAAAAAAACAAATAGCAATTTCTTTCGAGAGGTTAAGAATTGAAACTGCAAAAGGAAATTCATTTTTTGCTGTATACTGAAATGCCTTTCACATAAAAAAAAAAACGATTTTCTTATTGCGTTAAAACAAAATAACTATTGCTATATTAAGCGGAAAACTTTGTTACAGTACTGAAATTTTTAACAGTACTCAGATAACAATAAACAAAAAAATCATTTTATATTTTTTGCATACACCTCACATAAACTCCACTCTAAGATGTCATGCTTTGCCATGAATAAAAGCAATTCTCCACATTCAAGGACACTTTTGCATTTGCAGTTGTAGACACATTTTGTTAAATTTCCTTCCGAACTAATGTCTTCAAACGTCAGATTACAAAATTCCACTTCTCCTTGAAATCCACTTTTAGAGCTCTCTGTGGGAAAGGATACCTACGGAGTTCCAAAAACTTTATTTATGATTAACATTACTGAGCAGTTTCATTGTTAATTTCTATATTAAATGATAGATATTACTCGAAATTGATGAAATTTTGGGGAAAAGGTAAGAATAAATAATGCTTCATAATAAACTGAATGTACTTCTTAGCATGCTTACTTTTTCTGATACAGTCCAGATATCACATAAAAATTATATAACACATAATGTTTAGAATTGACATAAGATTCAGACATTAAAACGGTACAGGTACCCATAAGAATTAAATATCACATAAGGTACTGATGTCACATGAGGCTAAGATATAACATAAGATTAAGATATCATATAAGGTTCAAGTATAACATAAGGTTCAGATATCATATAAGGTTCAGATATCACATAATGTTCAGATATAACTCAAGGTTCAAATATCAGATGATGTTGAAGTATTTGATGAGGTTTTCTCAAGAAGGGTTTATAAATTTGCCAAACAGTATACATTTACATGGAATCAACTGAGATGATATCCTAAACATAAGGGATGAGAACACCATAAATTCATACCTGTAGAACTCTTTCCCCCTGCGGCCGACAAGATATATGTACTCCTATAACTGTAATGTTGTGTTCAGTAGAAGAAATGTTGAGCCATGAAGTCTTCATCTTCACCCAGAATAATGGCGGAATTTCGCCCTGGACTGGTAACTTTAAACAAGTGGTCTCATTTCCGTCAAGCATGTTATTAAACATTGATAACACATCGCCCCTCTTGTCATGAAATATTTCAGGTTTGCTAATTGTGAAATTAATCTTCGAAATAGACTTGTCAGTTACATGTACTGCAGAAAAGACGTATGTTTCTCCAAATCTAGCTCTTCCTGGATCAATTCGTAAACAAACAATTAGACTTACACTTCTTGAATTTTCGTGTGCAAAAGAGTTGATGTAGGACAGTGTTATAAAAGCTAGATTTTGAACGGGTGAACCTCCAGTCTTGTTGTAGGTCACAGTTAGTGAATTACATTTACATGGAAACCAGGAATCAATGTTGCTGAAGGCGACGTTCTCGATGACGAGTGCAGTGTCACTTTTACCTGTCATCTCATATGTAGAGATATTCAGACCCACGGTACCGGAAGTTCCTTGAGGGGTAAATATCTTTAATATCAGAGACGTATTGCCCGACGGTGATACGCCATGATTAGAGGTTCCGCTCACTTTCCTGAAAACATAGTACCGGTATGCAATTAATTATTTTATTTATTATTTACAAAAAATGAAAATTATGTTATGAGAGACTTTGATGAAAAGTACCAATGGCGAATGCAGATGAAGAGCAGGCCTGCCCGGGTAGATATAGAGATTGTAGAGTTGATAATTATCTTATTTAAATGTGTAACAAATAGAAAGAATAGGATGGACTTCAAACCTAAAATTCCTGTCTTTTAATTATTTCCTAAATAAAAGTTTGCCTCATTATATTCAATTCAATTTATAGTGACACATTTCTATCCCTACATGCAACATAAAACATAATAAATAAGACCTGCAAATTATTTATGTACATACGAAAAAAAATATGTAACCTAAGAGTCTCCTTAGAGAATATTATCTAAGCAGTACGTTTTCAAATATTAAGATTAGATTCCCTTACATGATTTATTAACTTGCTTGTCAACATATTAACCATATGTATGCAGGCATAATTATCTCTCGTGTCGATTTTTCTCCCATGTTAAAATATATTTTGGATGTAAATGACAGAAATATGCCGCCATAGTAATCCTTTCTTACTACTGAAATAATAAAAATCACCAACATTCGTATTAGGAGGTTCAGCCGTTAGAGACATAAGGGAACTCCAGACTTCTGCGTTATTCAGGTGAACACTAATGCTGGCATTGTACTGGACCCCGATCATGGCGGACTCAGATAGGACTATCCCCGCCTCAAATTCAATAACATCATCCTCTGTTGAATTTTCTGATTCATAATATCCTAATTGAATCGTTTTAAAATAAAATACGTTCATTTAGTCAAAGAAAACTTTTAAAAGATGAAAGCATTCAGCACGGTATTTGATGTTCATGCTAGTTACAGTAGAACTTACGAAATGATACTTCAAATGAAAATGCATCGCAAGTTTTTAAATTGAACACTTAAAAAAGATGATGTACCGGTACATGTAATTGACATTTGTACAATGTTTAAATTATACATAATAATTGTATAATATTTGATTTTCTTTCATATGTTTTACAGCCATATATTCAATCAATTGTAAAAAAAAAAAAATAATAAATACGTTCTGAATATTTTGCTTTATTCATTTAAGGTATCTGAATCAAGATATTTTTTCTTTTAAACAATTGATCAGGATAATAGTTTTTTTTGTACAAACATCAAATCAAATACCTCTGTTAACCCAGTGTGACGGGAAGTTGAGTGTTACATTGACCGATTCCTGATCTACGAATTCACAAACGTAAAGGTATTTGATTTTTGCACCCTGCAAAAGCAAAATTTAAAAAGAAATAATAATCCCTTATACACTCAATGCATTTTTGGGATAAAAATGTATGCTATGTACATAGGTACAGGCTAGTTTTCGTTTGTTTATGTGCAACATTTACTGAGAAGTTATTAAATTTCATGGTGGCGATTTATTTGTAGAATTCGTAGGTACAAAGCAACCACGAATACAGATCCTCAACTGATTGATATGGAGTTTAAAGATCCATTTATCTTTCCTTTTGCATATATGAATGAGTATACGACATTACATCCCCAAATCTTTTAGATTTACCATATTCACAAAAGTTGGCCACTATGGATTTAAATGCTTCCACAGTATATTATTCTTTGCACATAACTTTTTGTTTAAAAATTTAATTAAAAAATCATTTCCAATTAGACTGATTAGAAACACATTAAAACATTGTAATAAATTATTACCGGTATACAATATTGATTATTATCATATAATAAAGTTATTGAATATTATAAAGTATGAGTTTGTTCATCTTATAAAGGGATATTAATCGTAAGAAGGTTAAAGGTATTTATCAAAAAAAATGTATTTTAACTTACCGGAAAAAAGTGTGCACCAGCTTTCAGAACTCTGATGTATAATGCAGAATATGCGTCGTTGAAATTAGTATCTCCTTTGAGAATTACCTTAATTCCAGGATTATATTCCGGTATCCAAGCTTTGAAGAATATTTCTTTTATTGACTTAACTGCAGATGTAAGGTTTCTTGATACTGGCATTAATTCAAAGGCAGCCGATTTATTTTTGTTCTGCAGAAAATAAAAAAAAAACTAGAGGTACTGTGAGCAATGAGCTCACTAAATGACACCCCCGCCTCCCATTTGATTATAATGGGAATGTCCATGTTTTGCTCTGGAAAATCCAAAATATATGTCAGATCAAAAAGTTAAATAAGAGGTGCACAATGACAATATGTAATAAAGATTCTGTGAAAGTTTCATGAAATTTCCTTCAGTGGTATGAGAGGAGTTGTGAATAAGAGATGGGTACCCCAAAGCGTAACAGACGGACGGACGGACAGACATACCGATTACTATATACCCTCCCGCTTTTCAAGCGGGGGGTAAAAATATACCCTTAAGATAGAAAAGGGTTTTTTAGGAATCCCTTCATATCGGGTCTTTCCGTCAGACGTCGGAAAAACAACCTCGAATGTATAAACATAACTGGATATTAATTTTTTTTATACATGATCCTACTTATCTAAATATAGGAAAGACGGAGTAAAAAGTCCATTTTTAGTATATCTTTACCTTGATTAAGTTAAACCCCATACACCACAGATAAGAGATTTATTTCAAAGTTTGTAAAAAGGAGAAATGCCCTTCGCAATTCAGTAGAGATTGTATTTTGGTAGTCAAAAAGACACGGGAAGTTGAGATTGGGTTTTGAGACCGTCAGAATTGAATATATTGCCAATAATTCCTGCTTTATTGTAGGCTACCATGAAATTCCGTGCTATGATCGATCATGAAATCGCTTGAATTACTTTTCACTTAAACATTTAAAATTTCGCAGGATCCACAATTTAACCACTGCTGAGAAAATTAAGAAAAATCTTTCATTTGGGGTATATAAATCTATAATTTGCACAAAGCATAAAAATATTTGTTTAAACTAAAATATATAAATTTAAACATATTATTTCTTTTTAAAGTTAGAAAAAAGAACACCCCCACGACTTGAAAGGTTTTCTTGACAAAGAAGTAAAAGTAGAAACTTTTCTAATTTAAAATCATTGAATATATATTTAAAAAGTGAAAGATACCAGTGTAGATGTCCTTGCCATAAACGTTATATTTTCTATAAAGGTTGCGTTATATTTGTCTGAATGTACTGCGGCGTATCCAGTAATACTGATGTTTTGACCATCCAGCAGGCTGTTCGCATTGTGAAAGTAAATGTCAAATTCACAGGTTTGCTGTCGCTTGCTTTCTTCGGTAGAGTTATCCACTGTCACCATTTCAAATTTTTTTCCTTTCATAGCACTTCTAAAAAAAGCTGTCTAATCAAATTAAAAAATATACTTTAAAAAGTTTAAGTGACAAATGGAGCTAAATTAAATATAGTGTGATGTTTTGAATATAAAATATTTAATTTATTGTATATATTTTAAGTTAATATATTGTATACAAAACATCAGAATTATGTACAGTATAAATTATGAAAATAAAAAAGTTTTGATATCGCCACTCTGTGACGGAATAATACTTGAAGGTAGGAAATATGCAAGTAAAACCGATCAAGATAACAATCATTACTCTCATCGACCCAGTAAAGAATATTGTAAAGCACATTTCGAAAAAGAGAGATTCAGACCAAGTTTGAACTTACGTTAGTGTTATAAGATTGGTATATTGTACTTTGGGACACTCTTCTAATTGCCTCATCCCAGGTACAAGACATACTCAGTACATCTACATTTCCACCTTTATGTGATGCTTTGAATGTGACCATGTTGTAAAATCCAGGAATATATGTTAGAATTAATCTCCCAGTTGTTTTCATACCGATACGGAGCTCCTTTGTATTTTCGTCCCCTTTGATGGCAGAAAATGTAAAGGACTGACAGTCTAGATAAATAAAATTTAAAATATAAACAATGCAACATTTATGACCGGACACGACAAAGTCCGGACTTTTAGGTTCCCTTTCGAAAAGACATATTTTAAAAATTTTCCTGATGCTTGGTGGGATTTTTTATTCTCATCTCATCATGTCAAATTCAACTTCCACAGTATATGTTCGTATAAACTTCTCTCAAAACTTATCCCCATGAGAAAAAATGGGGGGATTTTTCATCCCACCTGAAATCCCACGAAAATCCCACAGGAAAAATAATAACGATAACGATAAGTTCATAAACCTCAGTATTCCGTAAAACAAAATCATGAACAGGGCCAACTCCCCTCCCCAACACCTGAAAACACCAAATAAAGGATCAGGTGCCTGGAAGGTAAAAGCATCCCTACTGACCATCTCCTCTCACTGACATTGTTTGGCTATTGTTCTTTTAGACTTTTTTTGAACAGGCTAAAGTTTAAATACAAAACAATTAAATGTTTTTAAAAGCCTAGTCCTCTATCATTAAAATGTGAAAGTAAAAAAAAAAAACACACACAAAATTTCCAGCAAGCGTTGACAAGCAAACACCGCGATATACGAGGGCCGTTCAAAAATTACGCGGACTTGTTGCACAGGGAAAAAATATTTGACGACATAATCGGGCAAAATGTCACATATAATATAAAAGAATCTTTACTTATGTGGTCTTCAAAATTTCATATCAAAATGTTGTAAATTTGTATCATTTTTGAGTGATTTATCAGGGCATATCATTGAGTCACGGAGCAGCAAAATCTTCAACGTCACAGACATTATAAAAAAATATGTGATTGAGCTTTCATTTTCTCAACATTTTCCCAAGAGTACCTGTACAGTTTGAGTTACCTTATCTACTCAACATTCAAACACCATTTCTTGTCGAGATTAAAATCTATTAAACAAGTAAATAATATTCTTTTTTGTTTTAAACCCAAAAACTGCAGGTATTTATGAGATATAGTGTGATATTGGTGACTCTCAATCACGTTCTTTACAGTCTGGATCAAGTTTTCGTAGATAATCTTCTTACCGTTCTCCCGAATAGCCTTTT